TGCACATAAAGAGAACACAAGGATAGTGTTCGTGAGACAATTAGCTAAGTTACAATAATCCCTCCTGAATTCGTGCAAAATGCCACCTTCCAAGACTGAAGTTATCCTCACGGGGATCGACAATTGGGACGACTGGCAGAAGTTTGTTGCAAGCTTAATTGATATAGACATCTGGGAAGCGATTAAACCTGCAAATCGAACTCAAGTGCTTCTACGACAACCAAGAAGACCCCACAAGTGCTTCTACGAAAGCCAAGAAGACCGCAGGTATCTGATTTTAACGCGAACGCTCAGACTGAAGCCAATCTTTCGGCATCTCAAGTCAATGCTTTCAGACTAGCCCGTGATAATTGGAAAGACAGCTCTAAGGAATACGAGCAACAGAAAACCAATCTCATCAAGGCTAAAAGTGTTATCATCAGCTATGTGGATGAGAGGTTAGGTCGTTACCTTGATCAAGACCATGATCTCCCTCGTTGGATTGATAGTCTATCTGTAGCTGTCAATGCCGAACAGACTAAAGCAACAGACGCACTTGTGATGGAATATCAGCAGATCATCAAGTCATTCAGGTGCACCGACTCAGCAACCTTTGCAGACTGGATCTGGAAATGGGAGAACTTTCTGCTGAAAGCTGCACGACATCGAATGCTTGAAGTAGCAGGTGGTCGTTGGCTATTTGTTGGCTTGGTACGAGTCATGTACTAAGCATGACACGCAGAAGAGTTGCTGCCTAGTTGCACGGACCGTGCCACTAGGTATTTATATGTATGAGAGCTGTCAGCCAGAATTTAATAGAAGCAAGTTCAATCGCAACAGGTTATGAGCCCGGTCGCATTTATTGTGCTTCCGGCGCCCGATTGAACTCGGAATACAGGAACAGTTTTTCGTCAAGAATCGACGGCTGACACAGAAAGACCCGGCAGTATGGGCAAGAAAGACTACAAGGGAACTATCCTTGACGGGAGAGACTCATTCGACAGCTGGAAGATGGATCTTGAAGACAGCTTGTTGAATGACGATCTCATGGGCTACGTCACCGGTGAGGCAACACCAGAATCGTCAGCCTCATCAGCTCCAGGAGAGAAGAGCGCAGCAGACATCAAAAATATCTCTCTTGCGAGAATGAAGATACGACAGAGCATCGACCAGATCCACAAGAACTCGATCAATCACCTCATCGATCCACGCGCGATTTACCTGTCCCTCGTCAACCGATACGCCGCATCAAACAAAGCGCGCCTCCGACAGCTCATCCGGATGATGTACGACGTTAGCACGCAGACTCATAGAACTGTGCAGGAAAAGGTTGACGACCTAAAGCGTCTCCGATCTCAGATCAATAACCAAGACAAAGATATCGTGATCCATGAGCAGCTCTTGATTTGCTTCCTACAAATGAGTATGGACGATGCCTTCGACACGACAATCGAGATCCTGAATGCCTCGACAGATACTATGACAATGGAAAGAGTGCAGAGCGCTCTGGAAAGCAAGGAGCTGGAACTCGCCGATGTAACAATCAAGGGAGAAACTGCACAATTTGCGGGTCGCCGTGCACGGAACAGAAAAGACAAGGGAAATAATGGGTCTAAGACACTGGGTAGTGGCGATGATGGTAAGAAGGAGTATCTGAAGGAGGCAGGGGGATGCTGGTGTTGTGGCGGTATGCATTTCAAGCATGATTGTGCAATCTGGCGCCAGACAAAAGCAGGGAAGACTTGGCTAGCTTCTGAAAAGGGGAAGGCGAGAGTGGCTCTGGAAGACAGAGAGAAAGCAAACGCAACCAGGAAGCTTGACGACAGTGGTGGTGAATCTCAGAAATCTGCCTACTTGCCTCCTAACGCAAAAGGGACAACTCCTCCACAATGGTATCTCGACAGCTGTGCTTCCGTCCACATCACCCCAAGGAGAGACCAGTTTATCTCAGAGTTATCCCCTGTAAAGACGCGTGTCGAGATTGCAGACGGCTCTGAAGTCCGTTCAAGAGGGAAGGGAGATGTGAGGATCTTTTACATCTCACAGAAAGGAAGAGCAAGATCGACGATAGTACGTGGGGTGCACTATATCCCAGACGCAGCGAGCAGCCTGCTATCAGTCGGTCAACTGGAAGACAGAGGAGCACACGTTGTTGTAGACTCTCCAAGGAAGACAGTTACGGTGATAAGAAACCAGCAGGAGGTGCTGTTTGCTCACAGACATAAGAGGGTGTGGCGCCTGAGCCAGACCAGAGAGCACCAAGCCCTTACGATCCAAGAGAAAGACGAGGATAACGAAATGGCTCAGAAGCTAACCCCGAAGATGTCTCAAAGACTATTACATGCTAGGCTAGGACACCCCGGGAAGCATATGGAAGGCAAGCTAGACGCCCTGATGGACGATCTCGGAAACCAGCCGTTCTGCCCGCCATTCTGTCCGAGCTGTACTGAGGCAAAAATGACAAGGAAGGCCTCCAGAGAGCCCATGTCTACTGTGACAGAAAAGCTAGAGAGGGTCCATATGGACCTCTGGGGCCCAGTTGAGCCATCACTGCAAGGAATGAAGTATATGTTGACGATCACTGATCAGGCTACAGGGAGAGTCTGGGTTTATTTCTCTAGAGACAAGATGAGGATCGTTGAGAAGATTAAGGCCTGGATAGTTGTGGCCGAAGCAGAATGT